CTCTTCTTTTTAAACACCAATGATATTCAGCCAGAAAGCTTAATTATAAAGATTATGTCTTTGGGTAATTTGTAAATTAAAAATGGGAAAGTTCCTTACAATATTACAACCAAATGTCCAATTAGTTTAGGATTCAACTTGAAGTTAGAAGGCAATACAATTAAAGTTTAAAATAGATTTGAAATTTTCTACCAACCCCTGACTGTATTATATTTAGTATTTAAAATAAAGTTTCATTCATGGTTCTGCAGTTAGGTACAGTATAAACAAGAATTGAAGTTAGGTATATATTTTTACAGGTGTCATTTACCTGTGGATTTATACAGTAACTAAAACTTATGACAATTTACAGTAAAATTAATTTACTTATTAAAAAATATTTTTTGTCTAACTAAAATCATGTTTAAGAAAAACATGGCTTAAGGCAAGGTAGTTCAAATACATGTCTTCTGAGAACCATATATGGTGAACTTCTTTGGAGTTACTAGTCAATCACAGGTGTGGGAAATTTCACGTTCTTGGTTTTTGGACCAAAGCAAAGCTTGAAAAAAACATGTATTCACATATTTTCTGTGTTTAAGAAAAAAAAGAGAAAAATGACACTTGTTTCAGCCCATCTGAGAACTTGACATCCTCAGGCTGAGATGAGTGAAAAGGGGAAAAGAAAATCTTACCTGGAAAGAAAAGCGTGCATGTCAATCACTAATTCTAGGTTTTACCTTAGTTTGCAAAATTCACAATGTAATTAATTAAATATTACATTACACTTTGCACATAGCTCATGTATAACATTGTGTACATTATTACATAGAACATCATAATATTCATTATACAAACAAAATACAAAAGAGGTGAAAAACTGATGATGTATTTTATAGCTATATAATAAACAAACCCACTAAACTAGTTTCTTCAAATGCAAATATGGCTTATATTTCTTAAGTGGTTCTTCATATCCTTGAACAGTTTATGGAATTTTATTTACATACGAATCTTCTTTTTTTTTTTTTTTTTTTTTTTTTCCGTAGGGTTATTGAAAGAAAAAATCGTGGCAAATATTTATAATGGCTAAAAATATAAATCTCGGAGAACTGCCTGGAAAAAATCTGACAAGACGTGTGGAAATGCTCCCCAAGCACATCTGAGTAAGCTTTCCCATCATCTCTGCACCACAAGTGACACAACTGCCATCTCCTTGGGCTGCTTTAAGCTGCCAAATGAGGTGGTGTCCTGACCTTGGGGCTTACAAAAAAAGAAAGAGATAATAATAATAATAATAACAACCGTCTCCATGTGCCTCTCCTCACCTGAAGGAAAATGGGAATTATTTTCTACCCAGAGCCCCAGGTAACGGCTGAGCAGTTCTGAGCTCCCTCAGTAGATGGTGGTGCTGCACTGCTCAGCCTCCAAGATATTTAGAAAGTCATTTCCAGGCCCAGCCACTCGATTCGCAGCTCATGAAACATATTTAAAGGCTTCGACTTCTGCTCTAATGCACACCCGGGGAATTCCTTGGTAGGATGCACTCGTCTCACGTTATTGGCAAGAGTTTTTGGCCGGGCGGAAGCCAGACAAATGGCCTCACTGGCAGATTTACACGCCAACAGAGAAAAGGTGAATATGTTTAGGATTTATTTTCTTTCTCTGCGGTAAATCTCTGTACCCTGAATGAATGATGGAATCAGTTCTGGTTGGAAAAAGAAATCACGGAGCAAAGTGTCAGAAGTTTAAGAAAACAGAAATGATGGAAGAAAAGAGATTCCGTTGTAAATGGCGTTTGCAGTGCCTCACCCGTGCATGGATATAATTTTCCATCCAGCTTTGCTGATGAGAAATTGCCCTTGTTACTTTGAGAAACATCTTCCCTGGTGATAAAACAGACAGTGTCACAGTGTGGGGAAAGGCTGTGGGTGAGGACCCCATTTCCAGCATCTTCTGTGGGGAGAAGGTAAGGGTGGAGGGACCCATTAATACCAAGGGAAGAGGCGAGATTTCCCCCAGAGCTCTCAGAAATCATGGGCCAAACCAATGCATTCTGGCCTTAAAGTTATTTAATGATAAATAAATATATTATCATCACACTTACACATTTGGAAATCCTGGAGAGCTGATCTGCGTTGTGGCCTAGGCAAAGGCAGCTTGGTGTGGACTAGGCAAAAACACGCACAGAGGGAGAGGGGAAGAGTGATTGACACAATAGCCCTCTTTCATAGAATCCTAGAATTATAGAATCATAGAATTGCCAAGGTGGAAAGGGACCTTTCAGCTCACTGAGTCCAACCACCAACCCAACGCTGACAAAACCCGTCACTGAACCATATCGCTAAGCATCAATATCTCTCTTTCACCAAATTGTGCTTTGCAGTTAACCAAAAATCCCCAGGGTGCTGCAGGTCCCATCAGTGAAATCTGCTTGGTTTTACCCTGAGGTCACAGCTGAAGGAGGGCAGTTGAAGGACAAGCAGCTTTTGGCAGCAAGAGGATGGCCATCAGCCTCTGGAAGGTAGCCCAAGACCTTCTGTATTTTATAAATGCATTTCCCAGGGCCGTTGAAGGGTGCCAGCCTTCCCTCCCAGGGATGGATCCATTCGCTGCCCCTTGTAACCACCCAACAGCATCCCCCAGGGAGGAGAGGGCAGTGCCTTCCGTGTGCTCAGACCCAGGCAAGAGTTAAGGTGCTCGGAGAGAGATAAGGGTTGATGAAAGCCGGGAGAGCGGGTGGCTCTGCTGCAGATAAACCCTCCTGCCTCTCCTCCTCACCCCCCTCAGCCCACCCCACCGCCCTGCTCTGACGCAGAGGGAGCTGCAGGGCTGCATGAAACTTGTTTGAGGTTCCAATTAAATCTCCATGGAAAGAGGGACACTCATATCCTCTTCTGATAAAAGGTGCTCGTAAATCCTCCGGGAGCAGCGGCCGCAGCCCACACCGCTCCCACCGCCGGCTCCTCGCACCAGGATGGGCTCCAGGGTAAGAGCTCCTTTTCCTCTGCTCCACGCAACAGGTTTGCATTGAGAAGGGGATGGGGTTTGCAGATTAAATCAGTCTACGTGTATTTATTGTCTATACGTACTCATTCTCTCTCTCTAATTTCTTTCTTATCTATCTGTCTGTCTGTCTATCTATCTAATGTATTTATTGTCTATACTTACTCATTCTCTCTAATTTCTTTCTTATCTGTCTATCTGTCTATCTATCTATCTATCTATCTATCTGTCTATCTTCTCTTGCATTAATTCACTGAATTTCACTGAATTTCACTGAATTTTTAGAGTTGGAAGGGACCATAGAGATCATCTAGTCCAACTCCCCTGCTGAAGCAGGATTGCCTAGAGCTTGTCAGAGCATGTTACTCAGGAGCATCCAGGTGGGGCTTGAAAATCTCCAAAGAAGGGGACTCCACACCCTCCCTGGGCAGCCTGTTCCAGGGCTCTGGCACCCTCACTGTGAAGAAGTTTTTTCTCATATTTGAGTGGAACTTCTTATGTTCCAACTTGTGCCTGTTGCCCCTTGTCCTCTCACTGGGAATCACTGCAAAGAGTCTGGCTCCCTCCTCCTTCAACCCACCCTTGAGATACTTGTCAGCATTAATTAATTCTATTATTTGGTATTTGCTGCTGCTTGGAGGTACAGTGAGAACCCATCCCTGTTTCCCAATTAAGTGACTTGTGTGGCATTCATATTTGATGATATTGGTTTGGATGGTTTGTCTTTTTTTTTTATTAAAATTTGGTAAATATCATTGGCTGGGATTTCAGGAAACCACGGGAGTCTTGGGAAGAGTGATAGTTCAGACCCAACTCCATCCATTTTGCCACTTAGTCTCTGAAGTGCCTACGAGCTACAAGAACGCAAATAGCTAATTGTTTGGCTGGCTTAGAGCAATTTTCTGATTGATATTTTCAGTGTGACCAAGCGAGTGATCTTCTCTCAGAGCCTCTGAAGCCCTGATCTTAATCACGTACGGTAGGCTTTTAAGTCTTGTATCTTGCCATGACATTTCAATTAGGTCAAATGAAAAGACATGTAAGGTAAATGAATTTCCTTTGAGACCTAATTTAATCTCCAAAGAACAAACATGGAATAAAAGATGTAGAGATTACCACAGATAAGCTGCCGGCTTGATCTGTGCTTTGAGTCTTTGGAAGAAGACTTAAACGATGCCTTGAAGCAGGTACAAGATGTCTCGGGAGAGTGGAAATGGGTTAGAGCACACTCTGTCTGCAACTTTAAATACAAGCTCGATCAAACCAGTCTTTGAAGAGCAAAGCTGGTGGTCCCAGCTCTTGAAGGACACTGGGGTCCTCAAGAAGAGCACCCAAGCTCTTGGAGGACACAGACGCTCAGTGACCTCAGGAGATGCTGTCTTAAGGGAGAAGCCATGAGCTGCGGGAGGTTGTAACGCAGAGTGTTTTCTTTAAAGGTTATAGGAGACCTTCTGCCCTGAAGACTAGGAGCCAGGAGGACCCCAGCTGAGCTCCAGGCTCTTGGCCATGTCCCCTGAAGGCGTACCCTGGCGCTGGCTGGCAGCGGGCAGGGCGTCCCGGAGCCTGGTGCTGGTGGTGGTGTTCGTCGCGTTGCTGTTGGACAACATGCTGCTGACGGTCGTGGGTACGGCATGCGGCTCCCTCTGAGCTCTTTGGGTGCCACCTCAGGGGTTTGGCTCCTTGGCCCATCTCTGGTTGACGCCGGCAGGGTCCCTGTGCAGAGGAAGCGTGGGGAAGGCTGGGTGCAGGGAATTTGCAGGACACCAATGTCTAACCAGCACCATTCAGTTCAGCTCCATGCTGAGCCAGAAAATGGAGTAAAATCACTAACTAATCCCTTCTTTGGCTTTTTTTCCAGTACCGATCGTCCCCACCTTCCTTTATACAACAGAATATGAAGGTGCCAACACCTCTGTTGCCCCAGCCCAGACTGAGCTGGCTCCTCCAGCTCTGAAGGCTCCTCCTTTCTCCTCCATGTTCTCCTATTTTGACAACACCACGGTGACTGTCTCGGGCTCCACCAGCGCCATGGAGCTGGTGAATGGGACGGAGAGCAGCCCCCCATCACAGCCCCCCACCACCAGCCCCCCCCCACCGAGCGGCTGCTTGGAGGGCGAGGAGTTCCTGGCCAAGGAAAACGTCCGTGTGGGGCTGCTGTTTGCCTCCAAGGCTCTCGTACAGCTGGTGGTCAACCCTTCCGTGGGTCTCCTGACCAACAGGTAGGTCGGAGACCTGGCTTTGTACCCGGTGTAACCCTTCAGGGACAGGCAGCTCCTGCCCGCTAATGAAATCATCGTTAGCCAAGCAGCGAGGGGCTGAGCTGCTCATCTGCAATCACGGAATTACAGAAACTGGTGGGGAAAATATCAAGGGGGAGGAGGTACGCATCAAAATAAGCGTGAATTTTACCTTTTCTAAAAGCCTACAAACGGCTTCCAAGTTTATCCTGCAGCATAAGCCTCACTAATGCTCTCCTCAGGTGCAGACAGATGCTATTTAATACCAGCAACCATCAAATAAACAAACAAAGACTCCCCCCCCGCTCTGGATATAAGGTGGTTGTTCAGATTTTCTGCCCCTGGGTTTTTCGTTGCCTCTGTCTCTGGAGGACACCTGTGAGGGGCACTAGGGTCCTCTCCACGTGCTCGGGGTGGGCAGATGAGTTGGCAGAACAGAGCCATGTCTCTGGGTGTCCTTTACAGAGCTACCTGGGGGCACCTCGGCACTGGATGCTCCCTCAAACAGCACCCATGGGCGCACCCACACCTTCAGGAGATGCTCACCAGCCCACAGAGAGGCTGGGCAGCAAGATGAGTTCTCAAGCTGGAGTGAGGAATCCTCCCTGAGATGGTGCCTCTTTTTTTTTCCCCCCTTTTCCAGGATAGGATACCACATCCCCATGTTCATCGGATTCGTCATCATGTTCCTCTCCACAGTCAGTGAGTATTGTCCCTGGGGCTGCCCTTCACACAGGGCAGCAGAGGAGAAAACCCCTTGGTCCCAGCCTGCACCGCTGTCCCCGTGCAGGAGAACGGAGCCAGAGCAGAGCAACCGGTCTCAGAAATAGGTGACAAGAAAGGACGAGGGGTGCCCAGCACCCTCCAGCACCCAAACTGGTGCAAGCTGAGCTCCTGTTACCCTCTGCAGGGTTTTAACACCCCCCGTCCACCTGACACCGACTGACACCATCCCCTGTTCTGCCTGACACCCTCCTCTTCCTCCTCCGCAGTGTTCGCCTTCTCCAGCACCTACACCTGGCTCTTCATCGCCCGAGCCCTCCAAGGCATCGGCTCCTCCTTCTCCTCAGTGGCAGGTAAATATGTGAGCTACACCCCAGCCCCTCGTTAGCTCCCCTCGTCTGGGTTCAATTACCATCTCAGGAATGATCAGCAGCACCAACAGCAGTGCCGAGTGCCTTCTTCAGCTTCAAACTCCTCCTCCTCCTCGCTGCTCCTGCCCGGCTGGTGCAGACTGTGCACCCACACAGCCCAGCTGGCGAGCAGATAACCCCCCCCCAAAGCCCAGGCTGCTTTTTTTTCAGAGAGGAGCCCCCCCTCTAGCCACGGTACCAGCCACCCAGCCCAATGTACCCTCTGCTTTCCCCTCTGCTCCAGGCCTGGGCATGCTGGCCAGTGTCTACACCGACGATGCCGAGAGGGGCAACGCGATGGGGATCGCTCTTGGAGGCTTGGCCTTGGGTGTGCTGAGTAAGGAGACCTTGCTCCCCACGGGGTTTACACCCACAACATCTCCAGAGCTTTGCTGGCCACCACCTGCCTGGCTGTGCCCCTTCTCTGGTGGCACCCCATGCTGTCCTGCCCTCCTCTCTCTCTCTGCTCCCTCCCCATGGCCACTGCCTGCAGGACCCGACACCTTTCCATCCCCTTCACCAAACGCCCACCAGGAGATGCAGAGAAAGCTGTGGTGGCAGGAGCTGATGGTGGCACCACCACCGTGTGACCCAGCCTTTCCCTTGCAGTCGGGGCCCCCTTCGGCAGCCTGATGTACGAGTTCGTGGGGAAATCATCTCCCTTCCTGGTCCTGGCCTTCCTCGCCCTCTTAGATGGAGGTGAGAAGCCAAACGGTTTAAACCTTCAAAAAAAAAAAAAAATTTTTTTAAAAATCCGTGTGAAAAGCTTTAAATGTGGATGATTTGGGGAGAATCTCTCAGGGATTGTGTGAAGGAAGAGGCACATTAATACCACAGGGGTGATACCATCAGCACTGGTTATTCTGTTATTGCTAAATCATACGTTTCCTACCACACAGCAATATCGTAAGAATTAGTCCCTCATTACTTAATAAACCCCCTGATTGCTTTAATGGCTCGAATGGCACGTTCAGTAAAGCTCTTTGGGCTGTGAGTTCTTTGTGAAAGGCACGCTCGTCTGCGGGCTCTTCACCACCCCACGGAGGAATGAGGCTTTGCCAGCGTGGATGGTGATCCTCCTCCTTTCCCCAGTAGCTGTTTTACAGACGCAGGGCACGGGAGCCCTCCGAGTGGAACAGAAAGTTACAGAGAGCAGGAACGTGCATTTTTAGTGGGAAGCATTAAGCTAATTAAATTACAGTCACAGCTACCATCTTTGCCTAGACGTAACGCAAGACATCTCTAATGAAGCATGTAAGAGCTTCTGGAAAATGAACCGTAGGTCCCATACATATGAAACTTTCTGGTTTAATCCTATTCTTTTCCCCATCTAATTTCTGTCATGCTCCAGTTGAGGCTCCCCAGCAGGCAGCTGGCAGCCTGACGGGGAGCATTTGCATATTTGACTGTTCCGTGGGTTGACAAAACACTTCAGATACAGTCCATTGCAGGGAGTTTTGCTGCTCCCTCCCCTGGGAGTGGGGCTGGGACCTGTCTACCCCCCTGCCCGCTTGAACCGTGCCCCCAAACACAGTTACTGCATCACCAGGGGCTCTTCTGATGAAAGGGGTCAGGCTGAAGGAAAAAGTCAGAGGGAAGGGCATCTTGAAGCAACGCTGTCTCCAGAATTAAGCTAAATTCAATGTTTTCTTCCCAGCTTTGCAGCTCTCCATACTGCAGCCCTCTAAGATCTGCCCCGAGGTGAGTAAGGAGGGGTGTGACTGTGCTGAGGATGGGGGGAGGATGCCCAGGGGGTTCTCAGCTGAGGGAACCCCCCCTTTGCCATCCCACAGAGCACCAGAGGCACCCCGGTCTTCACCCTGCTGCGAGACCCCTATATCCTCATCGCTGCAGGTAAAAGTGGGGGGCACAGGGAACCCCGCTCCTCTTTCTGCCCCCTCCTCTCCTGATTGAAGAGATTCCCTTGTGCCTGCTTGAAACAGGCAGGGGGTTCAGGCTGGGGTTGTTCAGCCTGGAGAAGAGAAGGCTCTGGGGAGATCTTAGAGCCCCTTCCAGTCCCTCAAGGGGCTCCAGGAAAGCTGGGGAGGGACTCTGGATCAGGGAGGGGAGCCCTAAGAGGAGGGGGAAGGGTTTTAAGCTGAAAAAGGGGAGATTTAGGCGAGATGTGGGGAGGAAATTCTTCCTCCTGAGGGTGGTGAGAGCCTGGCCCAGGTTGCCCAGAGAAGCTGTGGCTGCCCCATCCCTGGAGGGGTTCAAGGGCAGGTTGGAGGGGGCTTGGAGCAACCTGGGCTGGTGGGAGGTGTCCATCCCAGGGCAGGGGGTGGGACATGATGGGCTTTAAGGTCCCTTCCCACCCAAACCGTTCCGTGATCCCATGGAACAGCAGCAGAATGTGGCTTCAATTGAGCATTTCTCCCTTTTTCTCCTCCCGGCAGGAGCCCTCTGCTTCTCCAACATGGGGGTGGCCATGCTGGAGCCCACCTTGCCCATCTGGATGATGCAAACCATGTGCTCCCCAAAGTGGCAGTTAGGTGGGTACCCTGCTTTGCCATCTTCAACACTTACTTGATGGAGCTCAGCTGGAACCATCCTGCGAGATGGATTGAATAATCTCTTATATCATTCTAAAAAAGAAGAAAACACATACCCTCGCTCGCACGAAGCGAGCGATCCCAGGCTGCGTGTTGCTCCAATTTCAGCTGGAAATGTCCTTAGTAGTAGCTATACAATCTGCTTTTCTCTATTATTGAAAAAATTGTATAGAATCAGACTCCCCACAAGAGCAATAACAGCGGAAGAAAGGCTGTTTGGTGCATGGGAAGCCTGTCGAAGCCCGTCTTCTGCAGGGCAGATAATGGCAACGTGCTGGGCTGGAATCGTGGCAGCCAGATGGGTTCTGCAGGAGCAGCTCTGAGTAAAACAAGGCCATTTAGAGAGTCCCAGGCAGGACAGGATGGTACGTGCTAATTACCAGCTGCCTGGGAAATGTGATATGGAGATAACGCTGTCTGGTGTTTGCTACAAAAATAAAAACTAATTGCTATAAAACCCAATTGGCTGAGGAATGACCCAGGGGGGGTGCCCCAAGCTACACTCAGATCCCAAATTGAATTGCAGGCTGGGAGCAGGAGGGCTGAGAGGGCTCCTAATCCAGTTATCCTCTGGTCAGGCAGCAGCATCCATCCCGATAAGAGCCTACGATGCTTCTTGGGAGCAAGTGACAGAGAGGATGAGCGAGGGTATCGCAGCGTCCCCAGGCTGCTGGCAGTGGGGAGAAGGGACAGTGTAGCTGCTGAGGGACTGCAAATGTCACAGGCTGAGAAACACACTCAGGGCTGCCCCTGTCACCACTGAGCTCAAGGGGAACCTTTGAGGTGACTTAGCAGGACCCAGAGGTCAGCAGACACCAAAGAAAATCCCAAAACTATTCCCTAGATTCTCAGGGACGTGAGATTTGAGAGCAGGCTGGATTTGGACACAGCTCAGCTGCAAGGCACCCACCTCCCACGGGCTCTCACCTGAGCTGCTGTGAGCTCAAGGGGCTGCTTTATTTCATGCTTCAATTTGCCCACTCCCATAATTCTGGGGAAAAAAAGCCACCGAAGAGCTTGGGCTAAACCTGCAGGATTAACCGTGTCCTTCAGCTCCTAAAGAGAGGAGAGAAAATTAAACATAAATCAGTGTGTTTCAATAAGGAAGTTGTCTTAGTGAAATGGAGCTGATCAGTTTTATTTAGAGTCAGCGGGAGAGTATATTAAAAATAAACAACTGGTAAATCAGCAAACAGTGCAAATATTTAATTTTGACTACACAATGATCCCCAAGCTTTTCAGTTAAGTAGTTTTTTTTTTTATTCCTCTTTAATTTCCTAAGTGAAAAGCGGAAGGGAAGGGGAGAAAGGTGGAAGAGGGAGAAATGGTGACAGGAGAGAAGAACAAGTTGATTAAGGCAGAGGGGACCAAAAAGTCCTGCATTTGGTACAATATCATTCACCCAGATCTCGGGGGTGAATCGCTGCCTCTCAGTTAATAAGCAAATGCACTTTTTGTGGCTCCCCATCTTAATAGTGGGACCCCCACCATTCTAAAGGGCACGGAGCAAGGGGGCAGCTGGGGCAGTGACACAGAGGGATGGCCACAGAGGACAGGGAGAAGCCCCACTGCATGGACAGGCTCCCCCGGAGCCAGAGCTGGACAGGAACCTGCCCTCCTGGCTCGTGAAATTCTCCAAATGAGAGGGGCCACCAGTGAAGAGATTATGATGGCCACAGAGGACAGGGAGAAGCCCCACTGCATGGACAGGCTCCCCCGGAGCCAGAGCTGGACAGGAACCTGCCCTCCTGGCTCGTGAAATTCTCCAAATGAGAGGAGCCATCAGTGAAGAGATTATTTCTGCAAATCCTCTGTATTTGCTTGAGGATGACACAGGTTTCTCTATCCTCTCTCCCTCAGGGGTGGCGTTTCTCCCTGCCAGTATATCCTACCTCATCGGCACCAACCTCTTCGGCGTCCTGGCCAACAAAATGGGCCGGTAAGTGGGATATAAAGAGATTCCAGCTCAGCCCAGCCCAGTCCTGCCCTTTCAGCATGAATTGCACTCGTGGTGCTGTGCGGACTGAGAGCATCTGCCCTCTCCTCGCTGCAGGTGGCTGTGCTCCCTCATCGGCATGGCCGTGGTGGGAATCAGTCTCCTCTGTGTAAGTAGAGCAAGACGATTTCACAGAATCACAGAATCTTCTAGGTTGGAAGGGGCCTTAAAGATCACCTTGTCCAACTGTCAACCTAATTTTTGACAAAAATAAACACCCACACAACAAACAAAAAGCAACACCATCACTAAACCGTATCTCCCAGCACTACATCAACCCATCTTTTGAACACCTCCTGGGATGGGGCCTCAACCACCTCCCTGGGCAGCCCAGTCCAATGTTTCGAGACCTTTCTGCAGAAGGATCAGTGGGGGCAGGGTGGGTGATTGTACTGAAACCGGGTGACGTGCCCAGCAGGCAGTAGGTGTTCAGTGGTTGCACGTGTGTTTCGGTTTCATTCATATTCCCTCTCTCTCTCTCAAAGGTACCTCTGGCCAAAAACATTTATGGTCTGATTGGCCCCAACGGTGGCCTTGGCTTTGCCATAGGTAAGCTGTCGGTGTTCAGGCTGCACAACCCAGCTCAGACACAGCTCTTGCCACCACCCTCGGAGGTGGCCACAACTGCTCAGGTCCTTCTTGCTTTGGGCAGGGATGGTGGACTCCTCCATGATGCCCATCATGGGCTACCTCGTGGACCTTCGCCACACCTCCGTCTACGGCAACGTCTACGCCATCGCAGATGTCGCCTTCTGCATGGGCTTTGCCATTGGTAGGGAGGAGCTCTGCCCCATGGGATGACGTGCTCCATGTATCTCACTTGGTTTATCACTCTCTCCTCCACCCAGCACCCACTGCAGGCCACCAGCACTTTGCAAGCCCATCACCGTAGATTTATAGACCCCCACCCTCCCCACTGGAAAGGCACCTTTCTCTCTCTGTCATCTTACCCTCTTTTAAATTTTTAAATTTCCAGGCCCCTCCACAGGCGGTGCGATTGTGCGAGCCCTTGGGTTCCCCTGGCTGATGGTCATCATTGGGGTCATCAACATCGCGTACGCTCCCCTCTGCTGGTACCTGCGCAGCCCTCCTGCTAAAGAGGAGAAGATGGTGAGTTACAGTATCCTCTCTTCCCTTAGAGCAGAGGGGATTGATAATCCAGAAGAATAAATTCACCAGGGATTGTGTTTTACCTTGTGGGCTCTATCGTGCTCTCAAAAGGACAGAAAACTCAGTAAAACCAAGAGTGCAGAGCTACTGGCCTTTCCCTCAGGCACAGCTGGGATTCCCTGGGCAAAACTTGTGGGCTGCTTTGGCTTTCTCCGAAAGTGGCAACGCTCCCCTTAACTATTCAAATGAATTACCATTTTTACTAAAGCACCATCTCTTCCCTCCTTCCCCCAGGCAATCCTGAGCCAGGAGTGCCCCATGCAAACCCAGAGCTACGCCACCCAGAAAACCCTGCGGGATTTCCCGCTCACGGATGACAGCGACGTGGAGGCAGAAAACGCGGAATAGCGAGCGCCAGGACGCCGGCCCCGTTCTGGAGCAACCTTGTGTTTACAGAACACGATGTATTAGCGCTCAAGAAATCACCCAGCCTCCCCCCCCAAGGCTTGTGGACACAGGACAGACACGGGCTGTTATTGTTGGCTTGTTCTCTCAGCCACGGGACTCACAGCAGGGAGGAGAGACCCAGGATTTGGAGGCTCAACCAGCTCCTCCTTCACCGTGTGACTTCCAGGCAAGTTACCCAAACTCACCGCACCTCATCTGTAAAAAATACAAACAGGAAGATGAGGAGAATCATATCATATCTGTCCTGCAAAACAATATTGGCTTGGGCACAGCCTACCCAAGCAGTACGGGGTAACAGCAACACCTCTCCCAGATGAGTCCAGTGGCATTTGTTAATGTCCTCAAAGCGCTTACTGTTCTGGAAAGAAAAGCATTGGAGAAAATGAAAATAAAATAAGCAGCATCAGCTTTGGGAGATTTCTTTTTTTCCAGAATTCTGCTATGATAGAATCATCAGGTTTGGAAGGGACCTTTAAGATCATCTTGTCGCTGTTCTCGAAAGAAAAGCATTGGAGAAAATAAAAATTAAATAAGCAGCATCAGCTTTGGGAGATTTTTTTTTCCAGAATTCTGCTATCATAGAATCATTTGGGTTGGAAGGGACCTTTAAGATCATCTTGTCCAACCATCAACCCAACTCTGATAAAACCCATCACTAACCCATGTCTCTAAGCACTAGGTCAACCCGGCTTTTCAATCCCTCCAGGGATGGGGCCTCAACCACTGCCCTGGGCAGCCCATTCCAAAGCTTAAGAACCCTTTCAGCCTAAAATTTTTTCCTTATATCCAATCTGAACCTCCCCTGGGGCAATTTGAGGCTGTTTCCTCTTGTCCCATCGCATGTTCCTTGGGAGAAGAGACTGACCCCCCCTGGCTACACCCTCCTTTCAGGGAGTTGGAGAGAGCGAGAAGGTCTCCCCTCAGCCTCCTTTTCTCCAGGCTGAACACCCCCAGCTCCCTCAGCCGCTCCTCACAAGACTTGTGCTCCAGACCCCTCACCGTTGCCCTTCGTTGCTCTGCTCCCCAGCATGAAACCTTTCTGTACCAACAGGGCACCATCACCTGTGTCACTGTCAGGCCATCAATAAAGGTGTCACTGCCCTGTTAATGTGCTTCATGCACCTCCAAAGACAAAACAAACTCTCACTACTGTCTCAGTACAGCTTTAAGTGATGTGCTATTTATGTGTCCTGTCCAACATCCATTCAATTAACTCCTTTATTTGAAGAACTCTAAGAATTTCATCTAGAAATAAGGCCGAAAGCTCTTCTAGACCCTTTAGACTCAGCCAACAAAGCCAGTCAGGTCCCTCATGATTGTAACTAACAGACCATCTTTAAAAATCCCTGCCTCTCCGCTGAGATGGGGCAACAGGCTGCGTTTGTGATCCTCACCCGCTGCAACGAGAAGTGCAACAGACTGATTTAAGTGCCCTTTCGCAATTTCCTGGCCCCAAGTTTAGCAAGAGAGCAGCTGCACCGTTAACAATAATTACCGAGTATAATGAGCTGTAGAAGTACGTTAAGAGAGGGAGTGAAGTCATAGAGGTCCCAGGTTCATTTTATAAGTATCGGAGAAATTCCCGTGATCTCAGTTTTTCCTGCGAAACCTCAGACTTACAGCTTCTCCAGTTCCACTGCTGGCAGTTTAAATAAACTCATTTCTGCCTGGAATGAGCAGTTGTGTAACGCGCAGCCATCCCACTTGCCAGAAAGAAGAAATGATTCACTGCTCCAGAGCCTCGGCAGCACAATGCAGATGCGCCTGCCAAGCAGGGAAACGGGAGGGTAATAACAATTCGTCAAGATTTGGTACCTTATGACTCATTACCAAAGGTCATAAATGGCTATTGTCAGGCAATCCCACAGCCACAGCGGGCCCGCTGCCCCTCGCTTTGCACACAAGATGAAATTATATTTTTCAGGCTGCCTGGAAGTGACTAATGCTCAGCTTGTTCTCAAAAACGGCGTTATTTTTATCTTCCACCTGTTTCCCTGCTTTGCCAAGAATAAAAGGAAAAACGTGTTTGCTCTCTGTGGTGGAAGGAAAAAAAAAAAAAAAAAGCGAACCATTCTATTTGGGGATCTATTCACACCTCCACAGTGCACCTCCCAGTTAAATATTAACACTTAAAGCCCTCTGTGTGCCCGGCGGCTGGTTGCTCTGGAAACCCACCCCCGTGAGCATCAGGAAGGCAGAGGGGCCTCTGGTTCCTGCTGGAACGGTGGGGTCCCCGCAGCCAGCCCTCCCCAGGCACTGCACCCAGCATCAGCCACACAAATCCACCTCTTTCCTTCAGCATTGGCAGCTTAGACCTTCTAATTAATAAATTAGCTGTAACGCCAGTGTCACTGATGGAGTATCTCTGCTCTGAGTGAAGAATTATGTTGTAACCTTTGCATCAACCAACCTGATTTTTCAACCACCCTGCTGAAAAAACGTCATCCAACTCTTGTGTGCAATATAAACAGGCACCGACAGCTCTGCAGCCGGGGGAGATGAGGCTTGGGAGCCGGGGAGGAAACAGCTTTCCCCTCCTCGGGCGGAGAATCTGCAAACAAACCTTTCCCTCACGGCTTCTGCTGTGTAAAATAGAACAGCGTGGGCCTCGTTGGGAGCTGATGGTGCCAGTCGTCCTGTCTCCACCACTGTGGCAGCTGCCACGTCCTACTGTGGTGACAGCACAGGGGAGGGAGGACAGAGCACAGAACCATAGAACCACCCAGGCTGGAAGGGACCTTTAAGATCGAGTCCAACTGTTAAATTAACACTGTCCAAACCATCCCAAACTAACCCGTGTCCCTCAGCACCACACCTGCCCGGCTTTTAAGTACCTCCAGGGATGGTGACTCCACCTCCAAGGCTTAAGAACCCTTTCAGACTAAAAATTTTTCCTGATAATCAATCTGAACCTCCCCTGGGGCAACTTGAGGCCATTTCCTCTTGTCCCATCAACCTGGGACTTGGGAGAAGAGACTGACCCCCCCTGGCTACACCCTCCTTTCAGGGAGTTGGAGAGAGCGAGAAGGTCTCCCCTCAGCCTCCTTTTCTCCAGGCTGAACACCCCCAGCTCCCTCAGCCGCTCCTCACAAGACTTGTGCTCCAGACCCCTCACCGTTGCCCTTCGTTGCTCTGCTCCCCAGCATGAAACCTTTCTGTACCAACAGGGCACCATCACCTGTGTCACTGTCAGGCCATCAATAAAGGTGTCACTGCCCTGTTAATGTGCTTCATGCACCTCCAAAGATAAAACAAACTCTCACTACTGTCTCAGTACAGCTTTAAGTGTTGTGCTATTTATGTGTCCTGTCCAACATCCATTCAATTAACTCCTTTATTTGAAGAACTCTAAGAATTTCATCTAGAAATAAGGCCGAAAGCTCTTCTAGACCCTTTAGACTCAGCCAACAAAGCCAGTCAGGTCCCTCATGATTGTAACTAACGGAGCATCTTTAAAAATCCCTGCCTCTCTGCTGAGGTGGGGCAACAGGCTGCATTTGTGATCCTAACCCACTGCAACGAGAAGTGCAACAGACTGATTTAAGTGCCCTTTCGCAATTTCCTGGCCCCAAGTTTAGCAAGAGAGCAGCAGCTGCACCGTTAACAATAATTACCGAGTATAATGAGCTGTAGAAGTATGTTAAGAGAGAGAGTGAAGTCATAGAGGTCCCAGGTTCATTTTATAAGTATCGGAGAAATTCCCGTGATCTCAGTTTTTCCTGCGAAACCTCAGACTTACAGCTTCTCCAGTTCCACTGCTGGCAGTTTAAATAAACTCATTTCTGCCTGGAATGAGCAGTTGTGTAACGCGCAGCCATCCCACTTGCCAGAAAGAAGAGATGATTCACTGCTCCAGAGCCTCGGCAGCACAATGCAGATGCGCCTGCCAAGCAGGGAAACGGGAGGGTAATAACAATTCGTCAAGATTTGGTACCTTATGACTCATTACCAAAGGTCATAAATGGCTATTGTCAGGCAATCCCACAGCCACAGCGGGCCCGCTGCCCCTCGCTTTGCACACAAGATGAAATTATATTTTTCAGGCTGCCTGGAAGTGACTAATGCTCAGCTTGTTCTCAAAAACGGCGTTATTTTTATCTTCCACCTGTTTCCCTGCTTTGCCAAGAATAAAAGGAAAAACGTGTTTGCTCTCTGTGGTGGAAGGAAAAAAAAAAAAAAAAAGCGAACCATTCTATTTGGGGATCTATTCACACCTCCACAGTGCACCTCCCAGTTAAATATTAACACTTAAAGCCCTCTGTGTGCCCGGCGGCTGGTTGCTCTGGAAACCCACCCCCGTGAGCATCAGGAAGGCAGAGGGGCCTCTGGTTCCTGCTGGAACGGTGGGGTCCCCGCAGCCAGCCCTCCCCAGGCACTGCACCCAGCATCAGCCACACAAATCCACCTCTTTCCTTCAGCATTGGCAGCTTAGACCTTCTAATTAATAAATTAGCTGTAACGCCAGTGTCACTGATGGAGTATCTCTGCTCTGAGTGAAGAATTATGTTGTAACCTTTGCATCAACCAACCTGATTTTTCAACCACCCTGCTGAAAAAACGTCATCCAACTCTTGTGTGCAATATAAACAGGCACCGACAGCTCTGCAGCCGGGGGAGATGAGGCTTGGGAGCCGGGGAGGAAACAGCTTTCCCCTCCTCGGGCGGAGAATCTGCAAACAAACCTTTCCCTCACGGCTTCTGCTGTGTAAAATAGAACAGCGTGGGCCTCGTTGGGAGCTGCTGGTGCCAGTCGTCCTGTCTCCACCACTGTGGCAGCTGCCACGTCCTACTGTGGTGACAGCACAGGGGAGGGAGGACAGAGCACAGAACCATAGAACCACCCAGGCTGGAAGGGACCTTTAAGATCGAGTCCAACTGTTAAATTAACACTGCCCAAACCATCCCAAACCAACCCGTGTGCCTCAGCACCACGCCTGCCCGGCTTTTATATACCTCCAGGGATGGCAACTCCACCACTGCCCTGGGCAGCCTGTTCCGATGGTTGATAACCTTGTCAGTGAAGAAGTTTCCCCAATTTCCATCCTAAATCTACCCTTGGTGCAACTTGAGGCCATTTCCTCTTGTCCCATGGCCTGTTCCTTGGGAGAAGAGGCGACCCCCCCCGGCTACACCCTCCTTCAGGGAGTTGTAGAGCGCGAGAAGGTCTCCCCTCAGCCTCCTTTTTTCCAGGCTGAACCCCCCCAGCTCCCTCAGCCGCTCCTCATAAGCCGTGACCAGACACGGCCTGAGGCCTGACCCCCCCCTCAGCCGCCATCCCGGCGCCTCACGCAAGAGACAGGCCTCAACCATCACGCACAGAGGGCCGCGCACTGAACAGACCCCCATCGCCCACGACACCCTCTCAGCTTTGTGTGCCACCGCTTTATTTCCCCGCCCGGAGCCGCCCCCGGGCTGAGGCGGAGGAGGCGCCTCCTGGCCGCCGCCATGACACCCCGCGCCCGCCATTTCCCAGCTCTCGCGAGACTTGGGCTCTCCCCGCCCTTTCCGGTCATGGCGGCGCTCTAGGCCGCCGGT